AAAATGGTAAGCAATAAACATATTTGTATACATATCCAAAATTAAATCACAAACATGGAGAAAAGATAAATGAATTTAAGCATCAGTTTGTAATGGGGGTGAGAGGTGGTGGGCGGCAGTGGTGATAGTTGTGGTGGATGGTAATAACCGTGGTGGCGGCGACGACAACGGCAATGGCGGTGGTGACGGCGATGGCGGTGGTGGTGTTGGGGGCGGTGGGGGTGGTGGGGATGGTGGTGGCAACAGTGGGGGTGCCGGCGGTGGTGACAGTGACGACGACGACGATGATGACGGTGGTAGTGACAGCGATGGTGGGGGTAGTAGTGGTAGATGAAGTGGTGGTGCGATTTCATACACTATTTTTTTTATAAGTACTTATGAAAAATAATTTTAAAAATATTTTTAAAAAGTCACTCTAAATACACCCTTAGATGTCTATTTTTTCTATTAAATTTAGGGTGTTAATATTAGCCGTTAGATTAACTTTAAAATAAAATTTAAAGCGATCTGTGTAACGCCCCAAAATTCACATTAGACGGCATTATAATCTATAAACCATTCACATCATGAGAGCAACTAAATAAATTCATCATTAAAGAAATTTCATTCATCAACTATAACATTTATCATATTATCCCAAAAGAATAGGTCAACCATGACCATTACATCTCAAAAGAATGTGATTGATTATAATAATTATATCCTCAAAAGAATCACATTTAAAATTGCAGCAGAATAACAAAAGATTAGTTTTTACATAATTTCAAAAAAAAAATTCTAGTCTAGCACCTAGGAGAGTATAACTCTAGACATCCACCTCGAGATTCATGAGCCAATCTATTGGAGTTTCCCAATGTGTCGGCTCCTCAACCCCAAACTCTTCCTCTAGACCACAATCCGAAAAATATAATTTGTAGGGGGTGAGCACTAAGCTCTGTAGCAATATTCCTCCAAAACTCGAACAAGGTTTAGAAAAGTATATAAAAACGACCGGTCACCTTTCACAAATAGCATATATGAATTTTTGCAATAAAACATGGACATTTAAGCAGATCTCAAGTTTAAGCAACAACATTAATTTAATGCATAAGTGAAACCAATATACGACTAATAATTCATTCCACAATAAGCCGTTTCTCTCAAGTTTTTGCGGAATCTCATACTTCCCAAAATCTTTATAGAAACTATTTCTGGTACAATGAACAATAACCCACCACTGTACTCGTATTTCTGGTCTGAAGTTAGCTCTCGCATGAATACCATCGAAAATATCCTGCCCCACGTACAACCCACACAAATCCTTGCAAGGATATCCAACCTTTAGGAAGGGCGTATTCCAATACCATGACAGTGACGTATCCAACCAAAGAGTAGTATACTAACCCTTTTTCCACGATATCCCGTGGGCGATAATAGTTTAATCCTCGCAAGGCACTAACCCCTCTACGAGTGGTAGAAAAAGTTTAAACCCACACGAAGTAAGAAAGCGTTTACACACTCCAAGATATCCGGTTAATAGTAGCCCATGTTTATCCAACAACCACACAAGAGATACAATACCAACAATTTCTTCAAATACACAAACAATTCCATAAATCCCCAATATCATAATTTGTAATACAAGAGAACAATATAAGAAAAATAAGCAAGAGATCATCACAACATTATTTTATTACTCAACACCAAGCACTAAAGCTTTAAAGTCAAGAACAATGGAAGAATCAAGAATAAAGTCCATCTCTTTTGAAAACTAGGGTTTTATATCAAGAAAATGAGATTTCATGGGTATTCAACCTAAATTTTGTTTAAAACACGCTAATAATTACAAAAGACCAATAAAAGATGATTTTATAGCATATATATAAGATTTAAAGTCAAAAAAATACATATAATTAAGCCCTAGCCTCAATGTAAGAGAATAGGAAGAAAACCCCTACCTTTCTCNAATAAAAGATGATTTTATAGCATATATATAAGATTTAAAGTCAAAAAAATACATATAATTAAGCCCTAGCCTCAATGTAAGAGAATATGAAGAAAACCCCTACCTTTCTCCTTGGCTTTGGTGTGAAGCACAAGAAGATTTGATCTTGAATCACCCTTAGAACTCTTGTTTTTCCTTTCTCTCCTCCTCTCTAAGTCTTTCTATTAGGGTTCTAAGAGGTGTGGAGTGAAAGTGGTGTGAAAGAATGAGAGCAAATGAAGTGAAAATGGGGTTTTAAAACATAAAAATCTCAACTTTTTAATGGTCTATCGGTAGTTCATATCAAGTTACCGGTAGTTCGGATCCACTGACAACTTACTACTTTTTGAGCTACCAGTAGTTCAGATCTACTGGACATTTACTACCTGTTGACTACCGGTAGTTCGGATCCACTGGACAACGTACTACCGGTAAGTCCTGCCGGTTGGTCTTGTCCAGATTTGCCTATTTCCTATATTTTTTATTTCAAACCCATTCGAAACTCTTCCAAAATCAATCCAAACTTATACAACATACATTTGTACATCAAACATAATTGGTATAAGTTCTGTTGCAAACGGTTTCATATATTTATAAGTCAAAACTAAGTTTGAACTACTATTTCCTTGAATTTTTCCATATTAATATTTTAAAAGAAATAATAACTTGCTATATAAATCTACATACATATATAAAGATAAATGTATGGGGTTTACAATCCATCCCCCTTAAAGAAAATTTCATCCTCGAAACTTACTTTAAATAGCGAACAAATGAAGGTACTTCTCTCGTATCTCTAACTCTGGTTCCCAAGTAACTTCCTCCATCCCATGATGTTGCCACAAGACTTTCACCAATTGGATGACTTTGTTGCGAAACACCTTCTCCTTGGTGTCAAGAATCTTCACCGATTGTTCTTCATATGTTACTCCATCTTGAACTTCAATATCCTCCAAATCTACGACATGCGTTGCATTCGATTGACACTTTCTTAACATTGAAACATAGAACATGTCATGTACCCCTGACAATTGAGCTGGTAACCGAAGTTGATACGCCACTTCGCCTAGAACTTTGATCACTTCAAAGGGTCCGATATATCTTGGTGCTAATTTCTCCTTCTGGCCGAATCTAAACACTCCTTCTTGGGTGACACCTTGAGAAACACGTAGTCCCCCTCTTGAAATTTCAAGGGTCTTCGTCGTCGATGGGTATAGCTTTTCTGTTTACTTTGTGCCGTGCGTAGCCTCTCCCGGATGAGTTAAATTTTCTCTGTAGTCTCCCGAACAATCTCTGGCCCAAACAAACTACTCTCTCCAGCTTCTAGCCAACAAGTCAGGGAGCTACATGGTCTTTCCATACAATGCTTCATAGGGTGCCATGTCAATACTAGATTGAAAACTATTATTATACGCGAACTCCACCAACGACAAACGATCACTCCAACTCCCTTTGAAGTCCAATAGGCAAACACGTAACATGTCCTCCAGAATTTGTATCACTCTCTCGGATTGACCATCCGTTTAGGGATGAAAAGTCGTGCTGAAGTATAATTCTGTCCCCATAGCTCGTTTTAGACTTTTCTAAAATTGTGCCACGAAACGAGAATCGCGATCCGAAACAATAGAAAACGGAACTCCATGTAGTCGAACAATCTCGCGAATATAAAACTTGCTCAAGCTCTCCAAAGTGTTCGTGGTTTTCATACTCAAAAAATGAGCCAACTTGGTAAGTCTATCCACAATGACCCATATGACATTATGTCCGCGTAAAGTCCGTGGAAAACTCGACACGAAGTCTATGGTGATGTGATCCCACTTCCACCCTAGAATAGGCATGGACTGTAATAATTCTCCGGACTTTTGATGCTCAATCTTCACTTGCTGACACACCACCGCGCACCTTGACACTTATTTGGCCACGTCTTGTTTTATCCCTTTCCATCAATATTAACGCTTCATGTCCCTATATATTTTGGTACTACCCGGATGTATGGAGAACTTGGAGCGGTGACACTCGCCCAACATTTCTTCCCTTACTTGGTTATGATCGGGTACACATAGCCTTCCCCGAAACCATAACTCATCATCACTTATCGCCTAATTCTCAACAATCTCACTCCTCTCCAACTTACTCAGGATAGCCTCCAACTCGCTGTCTAATCATTGCAACACCACAATCCTTTGTCGAAGCATCGGTTGAGCTACAAGATTGAATAGTCATGGTTGATCCTCCTGTCTATCCATCCATAGATCAAATTTTCTCAAAGCATCCATCATCTTCCACCTATTCACTACAAGGGAATTGATTTCACCCCGAGATTTTCTACTCAGTGCATCCGCTACTACATTCGCCTTCCTCGGATGGTAATTGAGCGTGAAATCATAGCCTTTTAAATACTCAATACACCTTCTTTGTCGAAGATTCAAGTCCTTCTGGGTGAATATGTACATGAGACTCTTATGATCAGAAAACACTTGAAATTTCTNGGAGATTCAAGTCCTTTTAGGTGAATATGTACATGAGGCTCTTATGATCAGAAAACACTTGAAATTTCTCTTCGTACAAATAATACCTCCACAACTTAAGAGCTAAAATCACAGCGGCAACCTCTAAGTCATGAGTGAGATAATTCTGTTCATGAACCTTGAGCTGCCTAGAGCTATAGGCAACCACCTTCCCTCCTTGCATTAGCACACACCCCAAGCCTCGTAGCGAAGCACCTTCCCTCCCAAAGTGTCTTTCAGATACCCGATGACTTGACAAAAAAAAATGGTCATTCATTCACTCTAATAATTTCTCCACCAAAATGTGCCACAATGGAATCTTACTAGTCACACATGTATATTATGGGTAACCGTGTTGAAGGTACGATATAATATAAATAATCTTAAAAAAAAATTAAGTGGATGTTATATGAATTTATTTGAGATCCTCACATAAATTTATTAAAATTTATTCTATTTTATATTATAGATTTATATTTTTGTTTATATATATGGGTTCTTTCCTTTATATGAGCTATCCATAGTACTTGGCCTTAAGGAAAGCCCCCATATTCTCTCGTTGACCGGTGACAGATCATTTTTTCATCGACAATGGCGAAGATCGCATTAGGAACCTGCCGGGAGGTGGTTCAGCCGGACTGTCTCCAAGCCCTTATTGTTGAGTTTATCTGCACATTCCTCTTCGTGTTTCCCGGAGTCGGAGCAGCCATGGCCGCCGGTAAGTTGCTAGAATGGCAGTGATCACTTGCCACAGTGCACCAATTTGGTTTCGTTATAAAAAAAAAAAAAAAACTAAATTCAACTCAACAAAATTTTCTATCGAATGCAATACAAGTTACGAAAAAGAAGAACTATGCCAAAAATTTTGATAATGGAACTGGTTATGTTTTCGTTTTTTGTGCAGATAAGCTTACTGGAAGTGCACTGTCGGGACTATTTTTTGTGGCCATGGCACATGCACTGGTTGTGGCGGTGATGGTATCGGCCGGTTTCCGAATTTCCGGTGGTCATATTAATCCGGCTGTCACGCTTTCCCTCTGCGTCGGTGGTCACATCACTGTTTTCCGATCAATCCTGTACTGGGTTGATCAGTGCTTAGCTTCTGTAGCTGCTTGTGCTCTGTTGAATTATCTTACTGGAGGATTGGTGAGTCCAATCCAATGTGTTGGTTTATCAGGTTTTATAGTGAGCGTTCCATGTTATCACAACCCAAAACCATACTGGTGGCCAACCATTAAACACAGTGGGGTTAGACAGTATATTTCATTTAGTCTCATATATTCATTAAACCTCATTTAATTTTGACATTTCCTTGTCGGATTATGATAGTCCAAAAACACGGTATAAATGATATTGGATTTATTCATTCTTCTATCTTTAGTCAGTCTCAAATCTGAGGCCAAGCATTCTTCCTTGAAATTAATGGTTTCTCTCCTTCTGCCCCATCGTAGTAGTTCGTGTCGGGCATGCCCTTGATCTTTTCTTTTCTTGTCCATGAAGCCGGATTTCTCTTTCTCTCTCTCTCACACACACACGGTGTGTGGTGGTAGTGGTGGTGAGGAGGGTAGGGAGTGGTGGGGTTCTATCAGGACTTCAACTCTCGGTCATAAAAATATTGCCTATTGGGTCCCACCTGACTTAGAATACTATATTTTGGATTTTGATGTATATTGTTTATTATTTGGGTGTGCAAGCATGTTACAAAAAATTATATTCAATGGATGACAGAAAAAGAAAATATTCTTGGGTACCTTTACACTATTGTAAATGCATCTTTGTAATTGGTGGATAGTGATGTATGATGGAAGGAGTTTAACTACAGTGCCTAATTTTTTTTTCAAGAGTATACCATTTATCAATTTTTTTTTTTTTGGAGTATTTATACTATTTTTTAACCGGAGTTCATCAATTTTTAAGGTACAATCACCTTTGAAATTCACTTACCAATTTTTTTTGGGGGGTAAAACTTGTCATTTTTTGTGATGAAATTTATCGTCTTTTGAGATTTTAAGATGCAATACCAAACGCTCATTTTCCATTAAAATGAGATTTTCAAATCGTTTGAAACATTTTGTATCTTTTCTTTTTCCACTTTACTTGGATAGAGATCGCAAGTGTGGCCTGTATCTTTCCTTGGAATGCAAAGAATAATGGTGTTTGTTTAAATTTTTTTAGTTTCGGAGTTATCTACTCTAAAAATGTTCCCATAGTTGGAAACAATATTATTATTATTATTTTTGCAATTCACAGCCTAGAACAATTATTGTACCTATATTTTTCTGTCATTTTCCTATAAGATTTTTTTTTTAATTTTATAATTTGGGTTTTTGTGGTTATGTTTGTGCAGACAACACCAGTACACACACTTGCAAGTGGAATAGGCTCCTTACAGGGTGTGATAATGGAAGTTGTTCTTACATTCTCTCTCTTGTTCACTGTCTACGCTACTATTGTGGACCCCAAGAAGGGCTCTCTTGATGGGCTTGGCCCACTACTAGTTGGATTAGTTGTTGGGGCCAACATCATGGCTGGTGGTGCTTTCTCGGGAGCTTCAATGAACCCGGCAAGGTCTTTTGGGCCTGCGTTGGTGAGCGGAGACTGGACAGATCATTGGGTTTATTGGGTTGGGCCACTCATCGGGGGTGCGCTTGCAGGACTTGTATATGAGAACTTCTTCGTTGTTAGATCTCATGTGCCTCTTAGAGGAGAGGAAGAAGCTTTCTAGATATCCAATGTGGCAAGTGATTTTATGTGCTTTCTCTAAACTTTGTGTTATAAGCATGTGTGTTTATTGTATTTCTTGTTCATCCTTTTGTAACTTTATCAATAACGTTTTGGTGATTTAAGGATCTTGACTATTTTCTTTATGGGTCTGTTTGGTTAGGAGGAAAATGAAAATGATAGAAAGAGAAGTGAAAGAAAATAAAATAAAAAAATTATATTTTCATGCATGTATTTGGTTAGCATGAAAAACTTGTAAGAAAATTTCAAAAAAAAATCATTTTATTGTTTGAAAGAAAAAAAAGTTACAAGAATTTTTTTTTAATCCATACTAAGATTTTTTAAAATTAATAACAAATAAAATATTTTAAAAAAATTAAGGATAAAATAGGAATTAGTTATACATCACAACTTTCTTACATTTTCTTGTGTTTTTTGCAAGAAGAAAAATTGGTTAGCCGTGAGAAAATCTAAGCAAGGAAGAAAAAAAAAATTCTATCATTTTCTATTTCATGTTAATCAAACACATAAAAATTTTAAAATTTTTATTTTTCTTGCATTTTTTACCATAATCTCGCTAAACAAGAAGACCCTATATGTATCGTGTATAATTTTTCTTTTCTTTTTCTTTTTTTGCCATGAGACAGATGTCGAGTCTGTATTTTTTCAGATATATAGATTAATATTTATATTATGATAATACGAAGATATACTAATATTACAATTGATTTTACACACTAATATAGCATAGGGCACCCAAAAAGGCTCAAGAGAAAACTTACATAGAAATGAAAAAGAGAAAGTACTAAAAAATGATTACGAGAGAGACTTCCTCTTTTGACGTGATTTGACCCTCTAACCTCTTAATCGGCTATGACATACATAGCCAATAGACTATGCTTAGGTGGTTGTTTTGAGTGCGTCATATTTAAGCATTTTATTTTATGACTTATTTGGCTTGAATAAGAAAAAAAAAACACAATTAATTGGTTAATTTTTTCATAGAAAATTTACCTTGTCGGAGGGAGGGAGCCTTAGGAAACAAGAGCTTACATGGCTATGCACTACAACAAGCCAACAAATAGGGTTTTCAATTAGCGAGGAGATCCAATTTGAATTGAATTGAGGAATTAAAATTATTCGTTCAAAGGCAAAATTACGTGAATTTTTTTATTTGAACAAGTCAGATCTCAAATAGTCTAAACATTTATCTACTCGAACTCAGCTCGAATTACAATTTGGGTCTGAAATTATACCCGAACTCAACCAGCTCAAACTTGGGAATAATTTGTATGGATTTTTATCGAGCTGCACAAGCGGACTTTGGCCTTGCCTGACCGAGTAGGCAGCCCTCGCGAGTTTAGCCAAGGTGACTTGCAAAAGTTCTCTCTCTCCTCCCACACGACGTCGTGTGTTCAAAGTTCCTAGAGAGAGAAAAAAACCACTTACATTACTTATGATAAGTAATTATCAGTATGTTTAATGGCAATTAGTTATCAAAATCAAGCAAACATACACACTCTATGTTTCCCTTATTAAAAGAAGTTCATTTAACATACGGATAACATTACACTTATCATCCAAATGAAAGATTACATCCAAATTTTTTGAAATTTATCATTTAATCACTTAAATTTTTGATATTTAAAATATTATATACAAACCTCTAAGGTTTATACGCGCATAACACTTAGATCTCTGTAGTCAATTTGTATTAGTATATATATGTGTAAATTACATCTAGACTCTCTGAAGTTTAAAGTCTGTAACATTTACACCTCTCAAGATTAAAATAATATAATTAAAATATTATAGTTTAGAGGCTATAACACTTAAATCTCTCAAAATTAAAATATTACATTTAAATGTCTTATTAGTTACAGAATTAACGAAATCTATTAAACGATCAAATTATCCCAATTAAATATAGAAGATATTGTGTCAATTACAGTTTAATCCCTTGTTTGCTATTTTAATTTTATTCCAATAAAAAAAATAATTATATGTAAATGAGTGTTGAATTGAGTTCTTTAATGTATTTATATTGATTACTATTTTTTCTTAAAAAAAATAGNAGATAATTATATGTAAATGAGTATTGAATTCAGTTCTTTAATGTATTTATATTGATTACTATTTTTTCTTAAAAAAAATAGAATTTTCCTTGATTTTTTTGTTAATGGATGATATAATGGAATGTTAGGCTTATTACATATGTTTGTACTTTATGATGAAAAAATTGACTCAAGGAGAAAAATTCATTTAGTCTAAGTCCAACTCATCATGTTAAGAGTTCAAATTTGAATAAAATTCTACATATCATAGATAAGCAAAATTTAATTGATAACATCAAATCAGCATATAAAAATAAGAACCTAATCATTATATTTCTATGATTGACTAGATTTTCGATCATTATCCTTACACAATTCAAAATGCTAGAATTTCTATAAATAGAGTTTCATTGATGCTTCAGGGCTGTTACTTCTAGTTTCTAAATGCAATTCATACTTTTGGGTACTTATAAACTTAGGCATTAGACTTCTGGCCTTTGACTTCTTTTTTAGGTGATCAAAACCCAACAAACTAACATGGAGATCGTTCAAATTTTAGCATCAACAATACTAATAATGATTAACGATCTTGAATGAGCTTTTATCCAACAAAATCTCACAACATTTTATGAATAACCCAAAGTCGTATCTTAATTGATGGGACTTTTCTGAAATACCGTATGATGAAGACACGTGTCCTCGGTTTTACTAAAGCACTGTTGCTAAGATCAAGCACCCTCGGCGCACAAGGTCCTCGCCCCCGATGTACCGACATATAGGNTATACTAAGCCAGCAATATTCCAGTTCAACAATTACTTTTATTCAACAAGAAGCAGCTACCAGTACAGGACAGTCCCACACAACAAAGGGAACAGGAGAACAAAAAGAAACATCACACATGTCAAACATATACACATTTTAAGATGAAAAATGCTACTTGAATCTTATTTACTAATTCAATTTGTTGATTTAATTTATTATTATTGTTGGATTAGTAGTGGGTCATTATACTAAATGGGGTCTACCATAATTCAACAGTAATAGTATATTAGATCAACAAATTTGATCCAAGGAGTGTAAGTTATTATCATCATTACACAATATTGAGTTGATGCCCAATAGGAGTCGGTACAAAANATGTACCGACATATAGGATCACACATTCGGTATATTTTTTACACCGACACGTGGCCTCGTGACCTCCCTCGTCCCCGAGATGAGCCTTTCCTCGGTGCCGAGAGGTACCCCGTCCTGGACGCCTCCTCTACTCCAGGATAAGCTACTGACGTACAGGTCATCAGCCTAGGCTATTCATCATAACCTCGTCTTGTACAAGTAATGTCAGAACGTACTGGAATGCAGAGGTCACAACCAATAGGAGATGGACGCGTGACATATGATGTCACATCAGAGACAGACAAAGCGCATGCCGTTGCTGACACGCGACTTGGGAAAGTAAACCATTAATTGCACCATTCCCTTGATGAGACCGCATTCAATGCGGTAAGGCTCGGAAATGAAAGGCAATAAATGCTACTATTACAGAGCATTTATTGCATCCTCCCCGAGAGGAGCTCATTGTACCGTCGGCATCCCGACGACTCAGCATTGATTGCCCGGAACCCCGAGCAGTTAATTAGAGAAGACATTCCTCATCAGAATCAATGCACACGCTACCTGTGTCTAATGATCACCTACTGACCACACTGACAGCAATCATGAGCTTTTAAGGTATAAATACTCCTTGCAAACAGCAAAATGGGTATGCAACAACAAACTCTCTACTACAATACATTTTTCTCAGTGTTTTCTCCTTCCTCTCTCTCACTCAAAGACTGACTAGACCGTCGGAGGGGATACGCCGAAAAACACTCCGGCGCCCTTCTAACTTGTTCTTCTTCATTCCAGGAACCCCTTTCAGCCTTACAGGATCGTTCCTCCTTTCCCAGGATCTCCCGTTGCCGTTCCAGGTTATCACCGTACCTCGCAGGTTGTCCCAAGCAGCGTGTTTGGTCACTCAACCGGCTCACTCGTTGTTCACCAGGGGAGAGATCTGTTCTCTTTTTTTATATCGTGCAGGATCTTGCCCGCACAATCTGGCGCCGTCTGTGGGAAACGNGAACATTTGAAAGAATACATAGAGCCCAGGCCAGAAGAGAAACGAGTCCATACCCCGACCGAGGAGCCGAACAACGTCATAGATGTCATCCATGTATGTCCCCTGGAGCGCCCCACGTCCAAGGAGCTTGAGTCCGACCTCAAGAGGGTAGCTTTTACAAGGAAGGTAGCCGAGGGTGACGTAGGGCCATCAAGTAAAAGGGCCAGAATGGGTGAACTAGGCATAATGTTCTCCGACGCGGATTTGGCAGGCGTGGTAATCCCTCATAACGACGCCCTGGTCTTAACCCTGAAGATTGGGAAATTCGATGTCAAGAGAATTTTGATAGNCATGGACTCCACGTCCAGGAGGCAGAAACGAAGGATCTAAGGAACCACCTAGACCACAAAGCAGAAAGCTCCAGGGCCCCGAAGCGACCCAGGGCCGGCGAACATCATCTTGACAACCATTCCAGGAAAGCGAGGCCATTGGCCCTGGACGACCTCCGGCGAGGTTTGTCCAGACGGAGGAAGGGAGATGAATCCGAGGAGGACTCAACCCAATCTACACGACGTCCAGGAAACGAGGGGCTTACCAATGAACTCAGGGACTTCAGGAGGCATCCCGTCAGGGAAGAAGTCGATCTCAGAGCCCGATTAGACTCCAGAAGAAAGGGTAAGACTGTCCAGGACGAGGCCGAGGACGAAGTCATGCAAACACCCTTCACGAGGGAAATCAGTGAGATGGATGTCTCAAGAAAGTTCGTCGTGCCACGGTTCAAAACCTATGATGGGCGGTCCGATCCCGAAGCCCATATCAGACAATATAAGCAGATGATGTCCCTCTATCATTCGGACCAACGGTTTCTATGCCGAGTGTTCCCTATGAGCTTGGGGGACTCTGCGATGAGATGGTTCGAGACGCTACCCCCAAACAGTATTGGGTCCTGGAAGGAATTGACAAGGTAGTTCCTAACC